CTTCCTAGAAATTTTCTAAATTTATTAGTTAAAAAAAACAAAACAAAACAAAACAAACAAACCACAAACAAACATTTAAACCTACCCAAAGGAAAGCAGCTTAATAAGATTTTCCGAATGACGTTGAGTCTTGGACAAAGTTTGCAGGAAGACCAGGAATTAATCTGAAGATGCCTGTTTCCGACTGCCTGTTTTATCCACTGTACCTCTTGTTTCCCCACTGCTAGAACTATGCAAGTTGTTTCACTTGAAAATAATTGTGTTGTTTTCTTATTTATGGAAAATATGCTCTCTCCTTGAAAATTAGGCCTTAAAACTATAAACAATTAGATCACATAAGTACTTATATTTAAACAGGAACTACCACACATAATGATAAATTATTTTGCTTTTCTTGGTGCCCTGAGTAAATCTGAATTGATGGCATCACAGTCACATCAAATGCCACATATCTGAATGACAGCAATCTCTAGCAAAAGGTCTGATGACCCTGAAGATACCTGAATTTGTTTCCATGGAAATAAACCAATCCAGTTTCTGGTGCTCAAATCTGGAGAAACGCCCAGACCCACCTTCAAACTGTCATTCCCTTTGCCAGTCACCGGGTCCCCCCCTGTCCTGTCTAACTCACTGCCTCCAGCACAGCAGTCACTTTATGCCTGGCCAATGGACTCTCATCAGCAACCATCCCACTGTGGCAGGAATTATGGCTTCAGCAGTTCCAGGAGCCTGGAAAGATTTGGATATTTGCTTCACTTCTTTGAGAGGGACAGACCATGAGCTACATGCAGCCACAAACTTCAGGGTCACTCTGTCCTGTTTCCTCTGACGCATCAAGAATGTGACTTTTGAAAGATATGGTCAGGCTTGAACCTGAGTGTAAAGGTTTCGGTGAACTGTGCTGAGATCACACAGTCAGATCCTGTCTAGTTTCATAGCAATTTCACTTCTTCAAAATAGTCGACCTGAGCAAGCGCCTTTTAAATTATTCAGTTAGATACCAGCTGTTGTCGTTTAGCTTTCAGAAACACAATCACAGTTTGTACCCAGATTGGTGCTATTTTTGAGGCAGTGTGCAGAGATACCCTCATCTGACAGCCTTGGTCTAAACTCAGGATGGTAATGTAGCATGGGTACAACTTGGATATATCTTAGATCAGTTTCTTTTCATTCTACTGGAAATGCAATGTGCCTTTTGCAAAGGAAGGAGATAAATTCCTAAACATGAGAAAAATGGGGTCTGGAAAGAAGGTAAGACATAATGTCCTGGTCCACTATTATACTGTCCTTTGGTTCAAATAAACACACTTAGAAGGAAAGATGTAACAGGAGCCATTTGGAGCCTCATTATGTACTTTTGCCAAGTAGGAGGGTTAAGCTTTGTTTGCAAGAAACATGGGAGGGCTAATACAGAGTTAGTGTACTGGTAGGAAAAAAAAGGCATAGGAAGCAACTCAGACTAGTATAATCTGGTGAAAGACACTGCATTAGCCATGCTTTGAGTTATGCCTGTCGAGGGGATTTAATTCTGCTGGTGTTCTATAAGTTGGTTACTGTAGATTCAGTGGATGCTACTCCTTGCCTTGCAATGTTTATCACAGTGCACAAAACAGAACAGTTACTGATCAGGAAATTACTAAGTCATCTTTTGTGCCACGGTACACCCATCTTGGAGACAACCACATATATTTTCTTCATGTTGATAACAAAAATCCTACCTGATATTTAGAGCTCATTTGAGGGCCCTGGAGAGGAGAGGTTGAAGTGGCGGGAGGTGGATAATAATTTTTGAACTCTGGCATATTAAAATGATCACAACATGTGTAGACCCAGGAGGTCTCATTGTAATACCTTGTTAATGTCTTCAAAGCTTTTCAGAGACGTTTATGGAGTTATTCTACATGAAAAAATTAACCCTAATAGGTACATTCAATAACTAGATCCAACATGCAGAATAAAAGAACCATTGGGAGGAGGGTTAAGCTCTAATCTGCTTCTTTTTCCACTTTGTTGTGGAAGCAGATGTGGCAGAGAAGGGGCCAGCCAGTGTGAAGCCTCTGCACTCACATGGCTGACCCTGTGTCATGTATGATGTAAGTGCATGTCATGACAGCTAGCAGGGAGGCTGGGGAGGCCTCTGGCTCCATTTGGTCCTTTCCACTTAGACAGGCCATTTCTGCTGGAAGCATAACACAGGAGCACAAAGCTTGCAAATGTGCTCAGCACTGCTGACACTCAGGGAACCTTACATTGGTGATGGAAAAGAAAGAAGATACAATACTGTCTATGTATGCAATCACATCACACACTGCTTCACAAGGATGGGAAGGAAATGAAATGATACACAGGGGAGGCAGATCTGATTACTGAAAATTATATATACACTCTTGAGGTGAACAGTCTTCATCTAATTTGCAGGTAAATTAATGATTAACAAAGAAGCATGATCTATTAAAAATAAATTTTAGCGACAGACATATGCAGCCTATTATGCTGATTTTTTCATTTAAATCTTCTACTTCAATTCTTTTCTATATCTCTGTGCACTATATGATGAACTGATGGAGAAACAGCAGAGTTTTAAAAATGAGTGTCTTAGCAAAGATGAAGAGACAAAATTGTCACAGTACAAGAACAAACCAAATTATCTACACTGAAGTTAAAACAGAAAATAGAAACTTCATTTTTTCACTCAGCACACAAATGAATTCCCTCAGCATTACCACAAGATGTTGCAGAGGCCAAAGGCAGGAAGGGAATGCCATGGAGGACAGAATAAATAATTGGTGGTGTAGGATTCACTGGTGACAATGACCATGTGTGGCTGTTGAAGTCTCTAAAATGCTGACTACCGGGCTGAAGGCACAGCAGGTAAGGAGCAAATTTTCTTTGCCCTGTGTGCTGAAGTGTAGTTACAGCTGCCAGGAGCAGGGCTGAGGCCTCTCCCAGCAGCTTTGGCAGAGGCTCTGGCAAAGGTGGCAGGGCAGTAGGAGGGAATGACAGCTACAGCAATCTCAAGTCAGAGATTTCACAATGCTGTGGAAATACACCTCTTCGTAGGCATCCACCACTCTGGCCCACATCCAAGAGATGATCCAGTGTTAGGCAATCCTACACTCAGACACCAGTTGCGATTCCTGAAATCTGCTTTTCTTTTACACTGATCTTCATTAAAAAATCCTTTCAGTAAAGTTGCTTTCTTTCACCTTTGCTAAAGGGTTACAAATTTTCCTTCCAAAGCAATTACACTAGAAATATGGTCTATTACCAAAAAAAAAAGAGGGGGGGGGGAATATATTTGGTGATATATCCTTGTGAGGCTTTGTTCTGGGTGCTTCCTGCAGTGAGAGACTTGTCTTACTGAAAGCAGCAAGGAACACAGAAATATCGAAATATATATATACGCACATATGTAACTGTTGTGTAGCCTGACTTCCTGCAGCCATCTGGAAGCAACAACTTGTGTCACCAAAGAGTCCCCAGAGAAACAATCCGTTTGCCAACACTGGACTTTATTATAATGGAGAACACAAACCACATAGGCAGGAAACCATAAAACCCCTCGAGTTAACTGTAGCCAACGGCCAAGGGGCCTGGAGCGGCAGGGGCACCGGAGCCAGGCACAGGGAGGGATGCAGCCCCAGGCCTGGTGCTTGCCAGTGGCTGTAGCAGGATGTTGTCACCTATCCCATCACCACCCCTGGCCGTTTCCTGAGCTGATTTTAGCCAGTGCCCAGACCCAAGAGGAAGTTAATCACTAACCACACCGGCTGGACACAGCAAGGTGCCCGGCCGGGCAGGGCTGGGCGCTCCCCTCCGGTGGGCTGTCCCCACCGCACCGCCCGGGCGGGGATGCTCCGGGGCACACGAGAGGCCACCGGCACAGACATCGGTTTTGGAAGTGACCCTGGACAGGAAAGGCGTTGTATGCAAAGGGGGGTAACCGGGAAAGCTCCCAGGCCATGAGTGGCGTGGAGCTGCTGATGGGGTTTTTTGCAAGGCAAATACAACCCAGGAATTCACGGGGATAAGGCAGAGCAAACATTAACCTCCTGCGCCGGTGGCTTTGCGAAACAGCCGCTACCACGGCTCTTTTCGTTTGCTGCTCCTTTTTCATGGAAAAAGAGTTCGTGGCTCAAAGCCAGCTGTAAATTAACAGCTAAGTGAAACCATTATGTCAGTGGGATGCTTTAATCGGTTTACAAAACACTGCTCGAGGTACGATGCATATTCGTAGGCAGGAAGGGAATGCAGGCGGGTACCCGGCACGTCGAAACCCAGCGGGGTCACCGGTCTGGCGGCCAGCGGGGAGGAGGGGACAAGGACATCCCCATGAGCCCCCCACCCCGAGCATCCCCGCAGCTGGCGGCCGGGTTTTTGTCACCGCTTTGCCTTGGGAAGTGTTCATTAAAGGGCCCCGGAGGAACTATTTTGGGTGGGGGGTGGGCGGCGGGGCCCCGCTGCCGCTCGCTCGTTCGCGCCGGCCGTTCCCACACCCGAAACGCCAGGGCAGAAAGGAAAGCAGAAGGGGAGGGGGAATCTCTTTCAAGGGAAAATCATCTCAACCCGCCGTCCGCCAGGACGAGCTGCTCCAGGAAATCGGGACCCCCTTGCCCTGGAGCCGCCCAGCCCGGGCCCCGCAGCCCCCACCCACTCTCGGCCGTGTCCCGGCCCGGTCCAGTCCCTTCCCGGTCCCGGGTGGGCGGTTCGGTAGCGCGGCCGCCCTTTCCTCCCTCCCTCCCCCGTCCGGAGAGACAAGACACACCTGCCCCGAGGGGGCTGGGGGCGTAGCAATGATGACAAGAGCAGCCCAGTGTTAGGGTTCAGTTCCAGCTGATTTTATTTCCTTCCCGAAGAAAAAACAAAACAAAACAAAAAAATAAAAGAAAAATAAAAAACAAAACAAAACCATAAAAAGAGAGGTTATTTACAGAAGGTATATCAACAATCTGACAGGCAGTGAACTTGACATGGTTAGCTGGCATGATTTTTTTTTTTCCTTTCCCCACGTTGTGTTGTGGGTGATCGTAGACCAAAAAAAAAAAAAAAAATCTACACAGCATATTGCACAGGATGGATGACCAAAAAAAGAACAAAAAAAAAGAACAAAAAAGTTAAACCCTTAACGGAACCACCTCATTAGGCAGACGTCCTAGTGCCTGTCATGTTATATTAACATACATAAACACACAATCTTCTTTTTTTGCTTATTATAATACAGACTTAAATGTACAAAGATGTTTTCACTTTCTTCATCTTAAACACAACAGCTATAAACCTGAATACATATGCTATCATCATGCCATAAGAGACTAAAACAATTATATTTAGCGACAAATAGAAAGGATTAAATAGTCAAATACAAGAATGAAAAACGCAGTACATAGTGTCGCGAACTCAAACCGGCATTTCGATAGATCCAGTGGTTTAAACGGCACGTTTTTGCTTAGAAAAAAAGTGCAAAAGATGTGGTTTACAAGTTAAAGGTACAGGATCCCTTCTGTGTAAATGCACCAGTTGCTTCACTTCATCCGGGGACAGGTGGCTCCCCAAAACGGTAGCATACAGTGTAAAATCCCTGCCCCCGGCCCCCGCCCGCCCCCTCCGCGGAGAGGCGGGGGGCTGCGGAGCGGGCAGCGGCGGGGGCGGTGAGGGATGCTGTCACTTTAAGATGCCTGCAGATTGGAGTGTAAACATGGACAAAATAGGGGCTGATTCGTGGGTGTGTGAGAGTGTGAGTGAGCGTGAGCGCGCACACGCGTGAGATACTAACCAGCGGCCCTGTTGTTAAAAATCAGGAAATCCAAACAGCGATTTACACCGATTTACACCCCCTTTATATATTTTTTACAAAAATACACTGAGAAAATAATCAAACGTTTTCATCTCTCTTCTCTTTTTGTTTTTAAAAGTGTCAAAAGTCTACATTTAAATATAAAAAATTAAAAGTTAAAACTCTAGCCCTTCAGTGAAGGAGACATAAAAATGGTGCGGGTAACAACGAGAACTACCAAAAAAGGACAAAGAAATACAAAGTCAAAAATGTTTGGCCAGTATAAATACGTCCACTTATAAAATGGCATCCGATTACATTTACAAGGAAAAAAAAAAAAAACAATACGAGGATGGAGCATCGGTGAGAAAAAACAGTCTTTTCATTTACAGCTATAAGGAACAAACACATACATACTCTGAGAAAAAATTTGGTCCTGAATTTTCATTTTTTAAAAGTCCAGCACAGATTTGAGTTGCGTTTGAATCCTTTAAAGAGTTAAGAATGAAAAAAAGCTGGTGATATTTTTGTAGGAATCAAACATAGCGCCATCTATCTGCTTTTATGTTATCCTAACACTAGTTTTGTTTTTTTTAAACTGTTCAACAGTCTTACAGAAATCTTGAAAAGATAGACAGTATAACATGCTATATTAAACCCCACCAGTGAAATAATCCAACACCATCACGATTCTGAGTAAGAAGAAAAAAACTACTTTTTTTTTTGTATTTTCGGGTTTTTTTTCTTTTTTTTTTTTTTTTGCAAAAGCCATCGCCCTCCGTTTGCCCTGTACCACATCATGACAGAAACTGTTACCATTCGGTCTCTGTTTCAAAAGAAGTTTTCAGTGTTCTTGAAGTTTCAGCCTTATTTTTCTCTCTACATATTACATGAGGTGACTGAGAAAAGCGCTGCCGCCACCTTATCTGTACGTGCAAATCCATTTCAGTTTATTATTATTTCCCCCCACCGTATTTCCAAGACAGCTCTCAAGTGTAAGACTGGCTCTTCTCCGCTTAACTAGGATCTCAGTCCAGCTCCATCCACCTCCACCTCCTCCTCCTCCTCCCAGCATTGTTGCCTCTTCTCACAGCAGAAGAAACCGGGACAGGATTTCTCCCCACAAATGTGAACCTTGCAAAGGATTTGGGTGGATTTTCTCTCCTTTTGTTTTTTTCCCCCAAGCAGTTCTGATCGCTCTTTCATAGGAAAGGGCGAACGCTCAAGACATCCAGTGTGCGCTCAGCACAACGCATCGCTCCCCCTCCTCTTTATTCGTATAAAACGGGTAATAACAAAGAACCCAGAGGTGTGTGTGGTTTCCCCCTCCCTCCCCCTTTCTCTGTCTCTTTTCAGGAAATAAAAAAAGGGAAAGGGACAGCGTCTCGCTCCCGCCAGTCTCTCAAAAAGCACCGTCAGGCTCCTCTCTCGGAGGGGGTGTGTGCGGGTCCGTCTGCAGCCGGAGGAAGGGGACTGCTGGCCTTTCCGCAAGGAGAGGGCGATCCCGCTCCTTCCCCGAGCTCAAGAAGCAGTCTTTCAACAGCCCCTTCCCAGAAACAAACAAAACACTTCCTCCCTCCCCTAAAAAAACCCAGAACACAAACACCAAACAAAACAGAAGAAGACACAAAAGCGTCCGGCGGGGTGGGCGAGTCCTGCCGACAGCCACGCGCGCCGGTGCCTCCTGCAGCAGGGCCCGGCTCTCGCCTCAGTAAGTGAAGACCAGGTTGGAAATGCTGGACTCCAGCCAGTCCCCCGAGATCATCTCACTTACCTCCGGCGTGCAATAGTCCGGGAACTCAAAGTGCGAGCCCGAGCCGGGCTCGAAGTTAAAATCCAGGTCCCGGTCGAGCACCGAGGAGCTGAAACTTCCCAGGGACATGCTCTCAAAGCCGGGGCTGGGGTTCAGGTCCAAGAGGTCGTCCTCAAACTCGTCGTCCGACGAAGAGGAGCCGGAGGAGGAAGAAGAGGAGGAGTGGGAGGACGCGGAGGAGGAATGCGCCGTCGAGGGGGCCGGGGAGGACGCGCGCAAGCTGGTGTAGCTGCGGTGATCTGAAGGCGAGCCGGAGCCGGAGGGCGAGGGGCAGGCGACGCCGCCGCAGTCCCCGTCGGGCCGGCCCGCGCCGCCGCCCCCCTCCTCGTAGAGGCTCAAGGGGTCGCCGGCCTCCGCCGAGCTGCTCAGAGTGGGGCTGCCGGGCACGGCGCCGCCGGGGGAGGCGGAGGCGGCCGCCGCCTGCCCGCTGCCGAAGATGTAGACCCGCTTCAGCTTCTTCTCGGCCAGCGGCTTGCCGGGTCCCGAGGACGCGCCCGACGCCCCCCGGGGCTTGTAGAGCGCCTGGTGCTCGGGCGGCAGCAGCGCGGCCGAGGGCTCCCCGGGGAACGGGGCGGCCTTGCCCCCCGCCGCCTTGCCGTGGGGCTTGCCGCCCGCTCCCGCGCCGCCGCCGCCCGCGGGGGAGGGCTTGGAGCCGCCGCCGCCGCCCTTCTTCGGGGCGGGCTTGGCGGGGGCCGCGGGGCCGCCGGAGCCGCCGCCCGCGCTGCCCCCGCCGGCGCCGCCCCCGCCGCCCTTGTCCGCCTTGTCGCCGGGCTTGGCGGAGCTGTTGCCCGACTTCACCTTCTTCCTGGGCCGGTACTTGTAGTCAGGGTAGTCCGCCATGTGCTTGAGGCGCAGCCGCTCCGCCTCCCGGATGAAGGGGATCTTGTCGCTGTCCTTGAGCAGCTTCCAGCGCTTGCCCAGGCGCTTGGAGATCTCGGCGTTGTGCATGTCGGGGGACTGCTCCATGATCTTTCGCCGCTCGATCTGTGACCATACCATGAAGGCATTCATGGGACGCTTTATGTGCCCGCTGGGCGTCTTGCACCAGCTCGGGTCATCCGCCTTGCCCCCCGTGGAGGCGGTGGAACCCGGCGTGGGGGAGGAGGCGATGCCCAGTTCGATGCCGGCCCCGGAGTCGGAGGTCTCGGCGGCCAGCAGCGCCTCCGTGTTCTCCGCCGTGTTGGTCTGCTGCACCATCGCGGCGGCGGCGGCGGGGGGCTCGCCGGGGCTCAGCGCCGCTCCGGAGCTCAGCGCCGCTCCGGCGCGGGGCAGGGCGCGCAACTTCTCACAGCGGCACCGGGACGGCGCAGCCCCCCGCGGCCGCGCCCCCGCTCCCCGCACCACTTGTACTTCCACACCGGCGCCTCGTCTCCGGCGGCGCGGTCCTCTCCCCCTCGAGGCGGCGGCGGCGGCAGGAGCAGGAGCGGCGGGGCCGCCCGCGGTCAGACAAGAGTTTTTGCAAAAGCAGCGCCGCGAGCCGCCGGTCCAAGTTTGCTTTTTTTTTCTTGGGGTGTTTTGGGCTTTTTTGGTTTGGTTTTTTTTTGGAGGGGGGGTGTCGGTCTGCTTTTTTTCCTCACCGCATCGGGTTTCCCCCCTCCCCGAAGCAGCTGGTCCAGTTCACAAGTGCGTTCCGCCTGCCCGCGGCGTTTCAGGAGAGCGGCACTCCTGCCGCCGAAAGTCTCTCAGCGCTGGGCACGGCCAGCGTGCACCGCCGCGGGGGAGGGGGGAGGCGGCGCGCCCCCAAAGCCCCGAAAATCCCGGCTCCAGGACCCGTGGTGGCGGCGGGGTCGGCGGCCAGGAGTTTGTGCAGGTTGGATTTGGTAGTTGCGAGGTACCGAGCGACAAGGAAAACCCCTCGGGATAAAGAAAAAAAAAAAAAAAAAAAAAAAAAAAAAAAAAGAAATAAGAAGAAGGCAAAAATAATAATAATTGAAAAAATCGCCTTAAAAAAAGAAAAATTA